TTAAAAAGTGGTATTTATAGATAGTGTGCATGTGTAACCTAAAAAACAGCTACTGATAGCTGTGGTTAATTGGGTTAATGTGAAGTACACAGTAAGTCTGGTTACCAGGCTTTACAGAAGTGAAAACGAGATGTTAAACAAACTGTTAGTTATCAGATAACACAGCATGTTTTTTTCTTTTGGTGTTCTCAGAGTCACAGGAAGTCCACAAAACCTACCTACCAGGAACACATCCGCTAGCCAGTTCGCCCCCATCTGCCAAGGACGTTTATGGTGAATTTACGCAAGCAAACAGACAAATACCGAGTCTTACTTTTGTCGATTTGTGGTGGATTTCATTGCTCATTCTCTTCCTGTCCACAGCCACAGACAAAGTCGCTCTTCTGATTGGTAACATGAACTACATTTACCACACGCAGCTGTGTGCTCCCATTTCTGACGTCCACGAGTTGACCAACCTTCTTCGACAGTTGGACTTCAAGGTGGTTTCTTTGCTCGATCTCAACTGGCAGGAGATGCACAGCGCTGTTACTGAGTTCCTGTTGCTGCTTGACAAAGGAGTCTACGGTACGTCTGCTGCATACGTCTGTCCAATTTGAGCGACTGCGCTGCGCTTTACTGATAAAATAAATGCAGCACTGTGTTTGTAAAATCTACTTTTAATTTTAAAAAAAGAATACAACTAGGATAAATAATTGCATCTGTTTTTCTTTACTTCTGAAGGTTTGCTATATTTTGCTGGTCATGGCTATGAGAACTATGGAAACAGCTTCATGGTTCCCATTGACGCTCCGGTCTCCTACACATCAGAGCACTGCTTGTGTGTACAGAATATACTCACAAAGATGCAGGAGAAAAAGACTGGTCTTAATGTATTCCTGCTGGACATGTGTCGCAAAAGGTATGTTTTGTTTTGTTTTTATTTAATGAAATTATAATCAGCGCAGACCCTCTGAATCTGTTTGTCCGTTTTCTTTTTCAGAAACCCACACGATGATGTCATCGTGCAGCCTGGACTGCTGAAGGTCACAGCAAATATAGTGTTTGGTTATGCCACGTAAGCTCCCAGTCCTAAATGCGGTTCAGTTTTGAATTTCTTTAGTATCGGGTGTTGTTTTCTAGCACTTATTGTGTATTTCTACTTCAGGCTACAAGGTCAAACTCATGTGAAAGTTGCTGTCTTTTAGATGCGTAGACGCTGAAGCGTATGAGGTGAAGAGGGAAGACGTGTCAAATGGCATCTTCATAAACTTCCTCAAACAGCGAGTTTGTGAAGACGAGAAGGTCACCGTTATGCTCGACAGAGTGGCTGAAGGTAGAGCACTCAACAATCTGTACGATATAATCGCAATATTCCTCAACTAAAAAAATTTAAAAAACATATCTAATTTCAGTTTGGCTTCACGTTCAGAGTAGACTGCTCTGGCAGTGCCGCACTGCTCCTGCAGATTTTCTTAAGTCCTTAGGACAAGACTAAGCTGCACACCTGCACCTAAAGGATAAAGGTCACTCTTTCGAGGATGCCAATGTTCACATTTTGGAACTCAAAGACAGAAGATTTGAAAGAGGAGTAAAAGGGGCCATTTGTGTCCACTGTGAATAACAATCATTGAACAGAGTGGCTGGGTACTGACACCAGCTGTTGGCCACCTACAGTGCAGTCTTGAGATCCTTTGCAAGCTCCCCCAAAATATTGTGTCAGTTTACTATAATGGGTCACATGATAGGATGAGGCAAGGTGTCACTGAGACATGTCTTGGCTAATGTGATAAAGCGCGATTAATAGTGGGTCAACGACCCTTTTAAGGGATAACCCCAACAGGGTTTAAACACCTCCGACGGTTTTAGAAGTGAAGATGTCTCTTGGATGCGCCGTGAAACGTCTTCACAAAACTTACAGTCCATTCGCTTTTCTTTTCAAGTTATTTCAACTGTGAAAACAGTTCAACATCCTTCATTTTGCAGGAATTCTGCAAAGTCGTGTGAGGAGTGAGAAATGATTATTCCTGACACTTACTGAAATGCTGGGATAAATTTGCATATCCATCTCCTACTTTGTGAGCATCAACAACAAACTGATTCCTTTCGATTTTGGCACGATGCTCGAACCCTTGGTGAAGCTTTGTAATGTGTGTGAACTGTGAGCACCGTTATTAAAGCCACTTTTATGTTTTTAACATGCATGTGACCCGGAAATGGCTCATAGAACGAAGGTAAATTTTTTCATGGCTTCATTGTAATTTATCAAAGTTATTGGAGGAAGAAAAGCTGATTCCAAGGGGGTCAGTGGGGAGGTACTCACTGATTTTTCATGTAAGTACTTATCATGCATGTTGACTCATTGGCAACATTTACCAGACTTAGATGGATTGAGTCAAGGTGTAGCAATATGCCAACGTGGATATGAAGAGAAACCTGAAAGACCACTAAATGCTGTTTAACAAGGAGGATGTTGCAGGTCCAGTCATATCCCACTTACACATGCTGCAGCATGAAAAAACTGTGAACCCTTTGGGGTAAACCACACTGAATGGTGCAAACTATAACTGCAAACCGAATGCATCATTTCTATTTTAAATATCTTTACAATTATTTGTTGATTTTATGGCCTGTTTAGTCTTATGACAGATTTAAGATCTAGTGACACAGCCTGCAAGAAAAACTATTAAATTGATTTCTTCCAGTTATTTAAAGCTCTAAGATCATCTATGACCCTTTTTAAAATGCATATTAGTCCTATTATTAAAGTGTTTTAAACAAAAATAATGTCCTGCAACAGAAAAATAGACACGTCACATCTGTGCTCCCAATATTAAAGCTTGTTTTTTCTTCTCAGACATGGGTCGCTGTGTAATCACACGAGGGCGGCAGGCGCTGGAGCTCCGCAGTAATCTCTCTGAAAGACGCTCCCTCACTGACAGGATACAGGTTTCTCAGTGTTCTGCATCCTCTTCAGCTCGAAACCTGCAGTGGGCTATTGCACATGGTAAAAAAAAGTATTAACTGAAATGATGAAATATTTCAAAAGGCACATTTCTACTCGTATTTATTTATTTATTTATTTATTTCACAGTTCTCCCTGAAAGCCGTTACCTCCAGTTTGACTGTGGAGTGAAGGTTCAGCTTGGATTTGCTGCAGAATTCTCCAACGTCATGGTCATCTACACTCGGATACTTGACAAACCCGATGAAATAGTCTCCTGCTCGGCTCAGCTTACCGATTTCCCTGAGGTGTGTGACACATTATTCCACTTAGATTTAAAAAGCTTGTGATTCAATACAGAACAGACAAGATTTTACCCAGGACTAAATTTGCTGCTGCAGCTCCTTAAAGCACAAGCATCTAATTGAAAATGCACTGAGCTTTACAGAGTTTTCGTATCACTTTTGCAGGATGTGGACATTGATTTGAAGAAGAGCAATCAGGAGTCTCTACTGGAAGCTGGCTGTTTATCATTGATAAAAGAGGAGCTTCCTTCACCAGAAACCCACAGTCTCTACACGCACATCCGCAGCCTGCAGAGACTCAAGGTCTGTCATTTTTCCCTATTTTTACAATAAGTTCTTCTATTTATGACCTCAGAGCAGTCGTTTCCAATGCCAAGCCTGCTGCAGCTCACTTAAAAATCAGGAAGACTGAAGCCGATACTTTTTCATAACTGCTAAAAAGAACCCCAAAACAAATTGTGCTTTTTACTGTCTTTATAGAGGGAGCTCACATTCACAATATGCCTTCATTACACCTACTCCAACATGGATGAGGAAGTGCAAGAAAGGCAGCAAGTAACAGTCGGCAAACCACTGGTCTCCAAACTCAATCTCCACGAACCCCGAGCAGCTCACGTCAGCTCTGCCTCCTCGTCCTTCAGCCTCGACTCTTTTAACGTTCCCGGATGCTCCTCCTTTGGTGAAGACTTGTCCCTGACTGGTACAGCCTCAAACACACGGTCACATCATGCACAAAGTGCCAGTGTGTCTTTCACCGGTGGCTCCCCGACATCACCCAGGAGTGCCAATGTGCCAGAGGAGACTGACAGTCCTGAAATACTAGATAACCCTCGACCTCTTGTTGCCAGCAAAAGTTTGCCCCACAGTAAAGTAAATGACTCAAACTACAAGTTCAGTGACATGTACAATTTTCATTCTTACTGAGACTGAGATTCAGCCTCTACCCACTAATAAATCGGCAGTACAAAATCATGAATGTGTGGAAAGCTTGACAGACAAGTCCTGTTAATATGGCATTTCTTTAAATTCGGCCCGGACTGTATGGGGGCCGTTTAAGTTCTGATCTTTGTATTAACTATGCATTAAGTTGTGTAATGTTTTTTTTATTATTATGGATTTGTAACAATGTTATGCAACCCAAAGACTGCCTTCAAAACAGGAGAATAAAGCATAAACTTTATACCTTTAACCTTTTTGTAACATGCATTAGAAAAAAATGTATGAAGACAGTAAGACAGTGGTGAGGTGCAGCTGGAGGGACATATGGGTTTAAGTTGGGGGTGAGATTACATCTGAGATCATTCTTGCTTGCAGAGATGGACTATGACGTTCAAAGATGACACGAATAGGAAGAAGGTGGAAGATGGCCTGGAGAGGTGCAGGTATGCACTGGAGAGAAAAGGAATAAAAGTCAGCAGTGTGTGAATGAGAGGGAGGCAGGTGTAACAGTGAAGGAGGAAGAATTTTAATACTTGGGGTCAACCATCCAAAGCAAGGGAAAGTGCACAAAACATGTGAAAAAGAGTGCAGGTAGGGTGGAGTGGGTGGAGCGAGTGGATATGTTTGGTGTAACAGAGGAGGATGTAAGAGGTAGGGTAAGAAGGATGAAGATGATGGGAGCAGAAAAGAAGAGCTCCTAACTAAAATAGCTGTCTGTGTTTTAACGCTTGCATGAATAACAGCAGCTGCTTACTTTACTATACTCTGCGCTCTCCCGGCCATCAGATCCTTGTCGCTGATTGGTGCCAGTCGCCGCACTATCGCTGCACTGCGCCTGCGCTGTGTCGTCACCACCTCTGCTTGCAGCATCCGCCATTTTGCAGTAATTTAGTAATCCCGCTGCTTCCATTCGTTGTGCGGCGCCAGTAAACACGGCTCTTTGAAGGAATATTATTATTACTATTGCAAGCTGAAGAGATATTTTCCCGTGTCTTGCGATGGCTGACCCATCAGCAGATGTGGAGGTGCCGGAGGGTGCAGAAGTGCGCAAACTGTCGGAGCTGCGGGTCATAGACCTGAAGGCCGAGCTGAAGAAACGAAACCTGGACACGACGGGCGTGAAGAGCGTGCTATCAGAGCGTCTTAAAAAGGTCTGAATTTTACAGTCCCTTAAACAGCCAGTCGCTGAATAACAATGCTTAAAATGCACATAAAGGCCTGCATTATAGAAGTTTAGTTTGACGCTCACACAGCCGCAAAATTTCGAGCGTACTACGCTACGAGGCCGTTGACCCTAAATGTATGCTAAGTGCTAGCATGCGCTTGTACCAAATAACTCGCTAATGCCGCTAATTTGCGTGCATTCACCTATTTGACGTGTTTTTTTATTTCAACTGTTGCTTAAATGTACAACCTGTAAAGCGTTTTTGCCGTGCTCTTGACAAACAGGCAATCGAGGAAGAGGGTGGGAATCCGGACGAGATTATCGTCGCTCCGGAGTTGACCACCAAAAAGGCCAACGTCACACCTAAACGCGCTGCCAGAGGTAAGGTTTGCAGCAAGCTCTTAAAACACAATGTTTTCCGTTTGTTGCTGTGCCCGAGAGGCTTCTGCAAGGCAGGTGGCACGTAATATGTCATGTCGTTGTATTTCGTGCTTGTGCAGCATTCGTGAACAATTACGGTATTTCGTTATAAAAGAAGAGTATAGCAAGAGCAAGGGTAACAGAATATGCGTGGGAGAGATTTAGACGCCTGTCAAAATCAGGCGAAGACTAAACTAAAGTGTATTTTCTTTAGATACCAAGCAGGAGAACGATGAACCGGAGGATGGCACTATGGAGGAGGATTCCCGCGATGGCCACGTAAGTTTATTGATAGGATTATCTTGCTTTTCCTCCAGTTTGGATGCTACGGCTGATGTATTAAAAACGTCTTTGTCTCATCAGGAGGATAATCAGGAGGATGAGCATGAACATGAGAACATGCAGGACATGGACATCCTTGACATGAACATTCTGGATGAGACTGACAATGACAACGGAATACCGGCTGAAGATGACGAGTATGGAAGCGAGAACTTTTACAGAGAGGACGACTCGGGGATGAATGAAGAAAATGACTACAGGGCACTCGAGTCAGAAGAAGACACGAGAGGTCCAGAGGTGAGAGATAATACTAGAAACCTGTCTGCTAAATCTTTACTTGTAACTCTGTTTTAATGTTAGTTTATTTGAATATATTTTAACAGATGGATGAATTTGAGATGCTGGATAAGGATGAAGATGCAACATTTTCAGCAGCCAATGTGGTAGGTTTACTAAGTATTTCTTACGCCTGCAGAGCCTGTTAAAACACGATAACGTTTTGAACGAGACATAATTTTCTGTGTTAAAGGCTCAGGATCCAGAGGCTGACGACACAAAAGAAGAAACAGGTACTGTAAAAGAAATTGGCTCATCATAAGGTTGAGGTGTAGATGTGCAGTGTTAAGCTTGAAAATGCAAACACTTTGTTTAGTTTCAACCAACAAGAGAGACTGGAAGCCCAAAGGGAATTGCTGACTTGGTGTTGAAATTTGTTTAGCCACATATGATCTTTTCTTTGTTCATTTGTAAATATCGGTCAAGTTACCATATATCTTCTCACACGCTCACGTGACTGTGGTTAACAAGTTGATTCACACTGCCAGCAATTCAGTTTCAAGGTGAGGGAGGTTTAAGCTGTGCAGGTGATTGTAGTGTTTCTAGGTTGCCACGTGAAGGTCAAGGCAAAGAAGATGCATCAAGATTTGTCAACTCTTACGACTTTTTAAAGACGGTGAATCATAAATCAGCTGGATAAGAAACTGCTGGACTTGAGCTGAAGGTCTGCTCACTACCAATGGACGCTGGAAAAGTCTCAAAGGCTGAAAGAAGATGGAGTTCAGCGAGCCTCCGGTGTACTGCTGATGTTGTGGCTCTCTTCAGCACTCTACTCTTTGTCTGTCTTGGATCAGGTGAAAAGAGTGAAGTGGTTGAGCTTGAGAAATGAGTTTTAGCCCCTTTAGTTGCTCGGTTGTCCCAACAGCCTTTGGGCCCTTTTCCAGTCTCTCTTTAGGGCCATCGTTTTAATACATAGTTCTAAGAGCACAGGCCAGTGGTCATGACGTTCCTAATCCAGGCCTTGCCAGTTCCTCGTTAACCATTGATGTGTTTCAGAAGTGATTAAACTATGTGCCATTCTATTCCTGTTAAATCCGTAGAAAATGACAAAGTAGCCGGGTCTTGTTTATCTGAGCCGCATAACGAAGATCAACACCAGAGCCACGAGACGAGCCCTGAAGAAGACCAAGGAGCCACCGCCGGAGGGGAAGAAAGTGTGTCCGACACAGGTGCCCAGTCCAACGTGACTGCCGCTGGAGATGCGGAGGGCAGCGGGGATGTTGTGGGGACTGATCCCAAAGAGGTTGGGGAGGAACAGAACGCCCCAGAAGAGACACTTGACGGTGAAAACAAAATGTCGCAGGCTGTTAGTGTAAGCAAACAGGGCGGCGAGGTTGAAACTGTTGATTCAGAAACGGGGGCTAAGAAGGTTGAGGAGGATGAGAAGACAGAAGAGAAAGCTGCTGCGGATTCAGCCTCGACACTGAAAGAGTCCTCTTCTGTAGAGGGCGATGATCAGAAAAAGAGGTTTGTTGCTTTCTGTATACTAGAAACCAAAAATGGTTATCTCTGTTGCTTTGGCCCCTTTGTGCTAGCAAAATTTGGATGCTCTTTTGGAGGTAAAAACGTTTTGTACATTTGTTTTGTTTTGGTTCCCCCATTTTTCATTCCTTGCACTCACCTGTCCCACTTTATTATCCATTAAAAACCTAACTATTCGGATTGCCAGAGGATATAACTCCATTTATTCGCCAATACATCACTGCACTATGGTACATGTTGGGTTGATCGCTGTAGGCAATGAGAGATGCTATATAACAGAAATACAAACATGTGTGCCAGAAGATCGTGGATGTCCTCGCCAACATCCTCACCGTTGTAGGTTGATGGCTTTTTTTCCCCTTCTTCTTTAGCTCTGAGGAGAAAGATGGCAAGACCGAGTCGAAGGATGAAAAGGGTGAGTAAATCAAATGGCTTCTTTGTCTTGGTGGTCTTGTTTTCAGTGGCTGTGTGCTCATTAATTTTATGGTGCACATGTGTAGGTGCTGGAGCTGGGGCCGCAGCAAGCAGCAGCAGGAATCTGTGGGTCAGTGGCCTCTCTTCCACTACCAGAGCGACTGATCTGAAGACGCTTTTCAGCAAATATGGCAAGGTTAGTCGATTAGGGCTGAACGATATATCGCATTTGCGATAATATCGCAACATGATCAAGTGCAATTTTCTAACCGCAAAGGCTGCGATTATACTCTGGACATGTCCAAATTCATGGGCTGCATCCTCCTGAGGCCGCATTTGTAGACCGATTACGTCACAGCGACGTGCCGAAGGCTGTCCAAATTACTACCATATCCCAGAATTCATAGCGCGGCCCAGCCAAACTCCAGTTTCCAGCAATGGCGGCCGCTACTAAGTTTTAAAATTACTCATACTAATCTTTCTGTGTCACAAAATAAACTTTTAACATATTTTCAGGCGAGAAAGTAGTTGTGTAAACATCAAATATCTGCTCGGTTTATCAAGATATCCCATATTTGCAAAAGTGCTTCGACGTTTTCAGAGGCGTCTGCTACCCACCAGCTCGACAGCTAGCCGGGAGCTCGAGGATTACTGATGCGGCCGAGAACGGCACAACTCCCGGCACATCATTTTCAGATCACCGCGGAGTTTCACTGCTCGGGTTAAACGCAATATATAAGTCACTTAGACAACCTAAAAATGTTATTGTTGGGCTTTTTTCAGTGTTTTGTTTGTTCGTGAGTAAATCGGTTTGGCTGAGATTAAAGTTATTAGATTAGATAAAATAAAACTTTATTAATCCCCCGGGTGGGTTCCTCCTTGGTTTTCACACAGCTGACTAAACGTCAAACAGAAAACTTATTAAACAGAAGTATGAGACAGTCGAGAATTTACACCAGTGTCTGGTTATATTTTAGATAGCAAGAAGCAGACGGCCGAGTTTATTAAACTCCACCGAGACAGCGGTGACGCTAATCAGAACTAGACCGTCCAATTTCACGCCTTTAAATTTTAAAGGCGTGTTTGTGTGTGTGTTTATACAATTGCTATTATGTTTGCACTTTATGTGTAATGTTACTGACTGCAGAGATCAGTAAGATGTGTGTATTTTTTATTTATTAGTTTTATTTATTTAATATTATTTTTTAATTGAATGACTGTCTAGTAGTTCACAGATGTCGAAAAACTGAGTGTGGTAAAGCCACTGATTTTGTTTATGTATATTTCTGCAATCTGCACATTGTACTGACTTTCATTTTAATGTTTACACCAGGGTTCCTTGTCAGCACTTTATGCTCAGATGTTTGTAAGCTAAAAATAAACTATTGTGTATGTTCAAATATACTGTTGTGATTGAAGAAGTTAAATAAAAATGTCAGTCATCAATTCATGCATCACCTCATGTCATCATAACAGAGGTCTGTCTTCCAGGAAAGAACAGTTTAAAATTAATGTAATATAGTATTGGCCATACTATATGATGTATTGCTTGTCTTTGTTTAATAATACAGAAGACAAAGACCTTAAAAAATAATCGCATATCGCATCGCAATCGCAATATTGGGGCAAAAAATCGCAATTAGATTATTTTCCATAATCGTTCAGCCCTATAGTCGATTGAAAACAGTCTCTCACCAGTGTCACCAGACAGTTACTTTCTGCATGGACGCAAAAATAATATTTATGGGCTTTATAAATGTCCTGCAGGTTGTCGGAGCTAAGGTGGTGACCAATGCCAAAAGTCCCGGGGCTCGCTGCTACGGGTTTGTCACCATGTCATCCACAGAGGAAGCAACCAAGTGTATCAGCCACCTTCACAGGACCGAGTTGCATGGCAGGATGATCTCTGTGGAGCGGGTGAGTGTGGGGAGAAGGAGAAGTAACTAACATTTCATCTGACAGTCTGATCATTTGGAAGCAGCAGTCTGTTTTCTGTTTAGTTGTATTGCAATGCCTAAAACTTTGTTAAACTGATGGTTGTAATCAGACTAAAGTGTTAGCTCTAAATAAAAAAAACATGCAGCAAATAAAATGGTTGGAAATGGCAAAGATTAGAAATGATCTGAAGTAATTAGAAAGCTGTAGAGAAGGCAGAGGTATTTGTTTCTTTAAACACGCTGATGTTGAGCTTGGTCTTGTGAATAAACGTGTTCCCGTTTAAACATTGCAGGCTAAAAATGAACCTGCAGGGAAGAAGCCAGCTGACAAGAACGACCCCAAGAGGTCTAGCACTGACAGGAGACACTCCACTGACTCCAAGTAAGACTGCCAGACCGTTGACTTGTGTTTGAGTGATATCGCTAAAAGTGCCTCTTCTGCTGGGAAAATTTGGCCCAGTGAGGTTTTAAATATCACAGGTGTATTTATATTTTTAGCATGCCATGTGTCTGGGTAGTTTGTCAGACATTTAGCCCTTTGTATAAACCAAGATAAGGATCAGGTTAACTGTTCAATGATTTCTGACAATATGGATGTTTCTGCAGGTCTGATGGAAAGGATGAGAAGTCTGAGGGAGAAGGAAAAGATGGCAAAGGTGTGAGATGTGTTAGAATTTCCACCTGGACATGATTAAAAAAAAAAAACAACCTTTATTACATACTTGACATTAATAATTTTGATTGTTTGACAGGACGAAATGAGAGGACTGTAGTTATGGACAAGTCCAAGGGAGAGCCTGTTATCAGTGTCAAAACCAAAAGCAAAAGCAAGGAGAGGGTAAGTAATGATTAATGACCCTGTAACTGCCATCTCCCTCTTAATCAGTGTTGTTTTGTTGATGCATGAAGTGGTTAGATCATGCCCGTCTTCACACTCTTCTGCTCTTTCTTCAGAGCACCAAGAGTCGGGACCGAACTTCTTCGAGTAAGGAGAGGAAAGACATCTTGTCATTTGATCAGATTAAGGAGCAAAGGGAGAGGGAGAGACAAAGGCAGAGGGAGAGGGAGATCAGAGAGGTCGAGAGACGCAGATTCACGTAAGGATCATGAATACAGAAATAACACTTAGCCCATCATGGAGCTTAACAACACAGAATGTATTCATAAAGACACTTCTATATATTAGCAGTTAGCTCAGGTTTTGATCGGATAATAAATATCAGCTGATTTTTCTTTTTTCATTCAGTGATCGCAATCGGGAATTCCGACCTGACCGAGAGCGTGAGCGCATCCGTCTCTTCCGGGAGAGGGAGGAGCGAAACCACTTGATGAAGAAGAGACACTGGTTGGAGGTATCGTCACATGACTCCTCTCTGCCTCCAAATATGCGTCCTTTGGTACAACTCTCAATCCGATGCACTCTGCACATAATCACTACATTTTCTTTCATTCCTCCCATATAAACACTTCTCACCTTAATCCCTGTTAGTTCTAAAAAATGTATGAATTAACTGTAATCAAATGATTTCATTTGCAGGCTGAGAAGCAGCGCCTCGACGCAGATCGCATGGAGCGTCAGTTCCTGGAGCGTGAAAGGCTACGCATTGAGTACGAAAGGCGGCGAGAGCAGGAAAGGATCCTCAGGGAGCGCGAGGAGCTGAGACGGCAGCAGGAGCAGCTGCGCTATGAACAGGAGCGGCGCCCCGTTAAGAGGCCTTACGACATGGACGGCAGGTACAGTGACGTGTGTGTGACACTGATGCATGCTGCGTTTATCTGCTGGATACAGCTTTGCTCACTGGTCGATCCTCGTGGTTTTTGTGGTTCCTTTTTAGGAAGGATGACTGGCCTGATAAGCGTATGGCCATGGATGACCGTTACGGCCGCTCAGACTTCGGTCGCTATCAGGATTTTGATCACAGAGAAAGGGGACGTTACCAAGACGACATGATGATGGACAGGCGGGACAACACCCGTAATATGGGTGCTGACAGAGATGGTCAGGTAAGAACCCTGCATCCTCCCCCCAGATATTATTCTGTTAGGAAAAGAAACACCATGAGTTACAAAAACCACAAATATTTATTGTTGGCACCACCCTGACTCCTAAACTCTGCATGTTGAAGTCTAGATGTGGAACATGGACACCGGCAAAGCCACTTAAGTTAAATAAAACACAGTTGAGCTGAGCACTGCAGCTTCACAGGCCTGGCGTGTGGATATCAAACACGAGTGCTCTTTAAAGTGAGCTCCCACAGTATTGATATGTTGCTGTGGTTCAGAGCTTTAACTAACAGCAAAAGCCACTAAACGCTGAACTTTTAGTGTGTAGAATATGCAGACGCATGTGAGAATATGAAAATTTCAGCTGTCTTGTCCTTTTGCAGCACTTCTCAGAAAGACACGGCAGAGACGGAAGAGACTCCTGGGGTGGAGGCTATGACAAGCGCATGAATCCCAGGTGAATATCACTCTGTTGGCTTCTTTTCAAGCGCAATAAGCAACTTTTATAGTCCACTAATGCCGTTTTCCTGTCTTATTAGGGAGGGCGGTCGTGACTGGGATTCTAACCGTAAGATGGATGGAGACAGACCCTGGCAAGGTAGGTCAACCTGCACTTTAAGGTATTAGCTATAAAAGCACTGCTGTCTTAACTTGGATCTTTCTTCTTTTTTTAATTCCAGGTCGGGATGGAGCTATCCCAGGACAGAGCCACATGACACGAGGAGGAATGGCTGGGTGAGTAGCTTCTGCATTCAGTCTTGCTTTGTTTGCAGCTAGCCTCGCTGGTTTCACAACAGAGCTGATGTCGGTGTGTCTTTGATTTCAGAGGCCGTGGCGGCTACATGAACACGGGAACATCTCAGTCTCTGTCCGGAGCGCTTAACAGACAGAACCAGCTGATGCAGGGCAGCGGGCTGCAGGGCGGAGCTTTCGGCCGCCGTTACTGATGCCTGTCTGGAGACGGTTGTGTAATGATGTGGTTATGTTGTTTTTGTAAAAAAAAAAAAAAAGAAGAAGAAGAAGAAGAAAAGAAAAAAATCATTTTTTTAAATTCAGGATTTTTTTTTTCCCCTTTTTGGCACAATTCCCATCGATTTTCGATGGAAGTGTGTTTATCCTTTTGTGATACAGTGATAGTGTATTTATCATACAGCCCTACCTTGTTTGTACATCACAGCTGTTATGCATCCGCAAGTTGGCGTGAGTGTGTGTGTGTGTGCGTGCGTGTAAAATAAATTCAGATGTTTATTAAACCCTTTTCAGACATGTGATATGTAATATTGCTGGCTTCAATAATACATGGATGTTTCTAGGTTTGACCTAGACAGATTTCCACATTTTTATTTTTTGTCTTTTAAGGACGAGTGATCAGGATGCTGATACGTTGTTGCCGTCAGTTCAATGAAGAAGAGCGCATGTCTGAAAGAGGCTTTAGACGCCTGAGTTCCTGGACCTAACCTCACAAGCCTCCTTTCTGTATCCAAGCCCTTAGAAGGTTTTTTTTCTTCTTGTTGTTGTTTTGTTTTTTGATGAAACTTTATTGAAAATAATTTGAGAGTTTCAGGTTCTCGTCATTTTTAAAAAGATGCTCAGTGAAAGTTTGTTGCAGATGAAAGCGTTTTAAAATTAAATGTCACACTTTGTTTCTCCTTGCTTGTAACGTTTTTGTTTTTCTAGTTTTCCTTTTAGACTTGTGATAAATTCTAGAATTAAATGTGTGGTCGTGATTCAAATGTCTTTCTAGTTTTGTGGATGTTTTTAAAACCTTTTCTGTGCCGCTCGGTGGCACAGAAGCTCGGGCCACGGGTATAAAACTGTACAATGCACATGCGCATTATCTTTGTCAGATTTTTAAAGATATTGTGGCATCAGTGGTACTCGCTTATTTAGCTTTTGCAAATAAAATTGCACCAACAGTTACTGGACATGGCAGTGAAAATGTCCTGTCCTAGTTTATGAAACAGTCCTCGTGGCTCTCAGAAATGAAGCGGTATGAGGCCTGATTATTATTAAAGAAGGTTATGAATGGAAATTAATACAGATATGTGGTCAGAAAAATTATGTCATAAAACAAGCTTGGACGCCTGGCTAAAATGTGCATTTCCCAACTTGTTAGGTGAAACCTGTCGACCTGAGCAATCAGAAGTTTTCAGAGCAGCGTTGTACACTTTGCAATCATTTTAGCAACCACCAACTAGGAGGACACTCAGGTCTGAGTAACTGGGTCCTTCACTAGCAAACAGAACAGTTTTACTGTTGAAATTAATTATTTTTACAGGAGGAAACCCAAGTTTTTGGCTGTTTTATTATTGACTGGATTCATACATATAACCTAAATGGATAGTGGTATAAATCAAACTATCAAATCAATTCAATTTTATTTATACAGCGCCAAATCACAACAACAGTCGCCTCAAGGCGCTTTATATTGTACAGTAGACCCTACAATAATACATACAGATATAAACCCAACAATCATATGACCCCCTATGAGCAAGCACTTTGGCAACAGTGGGAAGGAAAAACTCCCTTTTAACAGGAAGAAACCTCCGGCAGAACCAGGCTCAGGGAGGGGCGGGGCCAACTGCTGCAACCGGTTGGGGTGAGAGAAGGAAGACAGGATAAAGACATGCTGTGAAAGAGAGACAGAGGCTGTGTCCCAATTCAGGGTCTGCACGCTTGAAGTACGCATTTCAAGTGCGGTTACGTCACCGCCACTCGACGGCTGTCCCAATTCGAAGTGTGCTTCAAATGCATACTCCAAATGCGCTGTCGATTTCCCCAAATATCAAGCGTGGTCCAATGCACGCTTTGTGGTCCCATATATCCCACAATTCATAGCCCGGCGGTGGGTGTGGATAATTTTGCCGCAAAATACGGCAGAAAGGAGCAGCCGAAGAGGGTTTTTTTTTTCCAAACTTTATTGAACTTATAAAGCGAACAGTCAGTCATTCCAGTTCAGTTTGTACAGTAGACATACAAGGCAAATAAGAGTAACAATATACAGTACAATGAAATAAGAAGGATAAATAAATAAAGGATAAAAAAAGAAAAAAAGGGGGGAATGTGACAGACTTCATAACAACTTTGTACTTGAAAGTTGTGACAGCTCATTCGTTAAACATTTCTGAATGAATTTCAATCAATGATAAACCTTTTTTATTGGAAGTTAATTTAAGAGAGTTTAAGTAGAGCTGTTAGCTGTTAGCATGCGTCCGTACTACCTGCCCCGGGAGTTCTCGCATGTTATCGCGATAACAGCGTATGTCCCCCCCTCGGCCAACGCGGATGCAGCCTGTGACTCTCTCCACTCTGTGGTCAGCAGACTGCAAACACAATCACCGAGAGCCCTTCTCATAATATCAGGGGACTTCAATCATGCCTCACTGGACTCCACACTGCCCACCTTCACCCAGTATGTGACCTGCCCAACCAGAGTCAATAAAACACTGGACTTACTGTATGCCAATGCAGAAGAGGCATACAGTTCATCACCTCTCCCTCCCCTGGGCAGATCTGATCACAACCTGGTGCACCTTGTCCCTGTGTATGAGCCCTTAGTGCGCAGGGAGCCACCAGCCACCCGCACAGTACAGAGATGGTCAGAGGAGAGCGAGGAGGCTCTTAAGGATTGTTTTGAGTCGACTGTGTGGGAGGTGATTTGTGATGACCACGGAGAGGACATCGACAGCCTTACTACATGCATTACTGACTATATAAACTTCTGTGTGGATAACACTGTACCTACCAGGACTGTACGGTGTTTCTCCAACAACAAACCTTGGATTACCCCAGAAATTAAAACCGTCCTCAAGCAGAAGAGGAGGGCCTTCAAACCCAGAGACAAAGAGGAGTTGAAAAGGGTGCAGAGAGAGCTGAGGGGACTGATAAGGAATGGGAAGGAGAGCTACAGGCAGAAGATGGAGAACCAGCTTCAACAAAACAACGTTGGTGAAGTCTGGAGAGGCCTCAGAACCATCTCGGGCCACAAACAGCAGAACTCTCTGCCTGGGAGGGATGTGAGATGGGCAAATGAACTGAATCATTTCTTCAACAGATTTGACTCAGCCATGAGGCAGTCTGCAACATCGGCTGCAGACTCACCCACCCCCACTGCTGCTGTTCCACCTCAGACACTTCACACCTCCTCTATTCACCCTGCTCACTCCCCCCCACCCCCAACAACAGCATCCAATACACACTCAACACAAGGCTCCAGCCTGTCTCTCTCAACCACCCAGGTTAGGAGGGAACTGAGGAGGATTAATGGCAAGAAGGCAGCGGGTCCAGATGGCATCAGCTCGAGGGTCGTCAGGTCCTGCGCGGACCAACTGTGTGGGGTGATGGAGCACCTCTTCAACCTGAGCCTGAGGTTGGGAAGAGTCCCACAGCTCTGGAAAACCTCCTGTGTTGTACCAGTGCCAAAGACTTCACGCCCCAAGGACCTCAACAGCTACAGGCCGGTGGCTCTGACATCCCACCTGATGAAGACCCTGGAGCGGTTGGTCCTGGCTCAGCTTCGGCGCCTAATAAGCTCATCACTGGACCCACTTCAGTTTGCCTACCAGCCTGGCATTGGAGCGGATGATGCCGTCATTCACCTCCTACATCGTTCCCTCGCTCACCTGGAGACCGCTGGAAGCACTGTGAGAATCATGTTCTTTGATTTCTCCAGTGCCTTCAACACCATTCTTCCCTCGGTTCTAAAGGACAAGCTGGTGAACTCTGGAGTGGACCATCACCTCACTACCTGGATCCTGGACTACCTCACCGACCGACCACAGTATGTGAGGACTCAGGGCTTTGTGTCGGACAGGGTCGTCTGCAGTACGGGGGCCCCCCAGGGAACGGTTCTGGCTCCGTTCCTCTTCACCATCTACACTGCAGACTTCTCCCACAATTCCACCCAGTGCTTCCTGCAGAAGTTCTCGGATGACTCTGCAATAGTCGGCCTCATCACTGATGGGGACGACAAGGAGTACAGAGGTCTGACCCAAGACTTTGTGGACTGGTGCCAGCTGAACTACCTCCAGATCAACGCCAGTAAAACCAAGGAACTGGTGGTAGACTTCCGCAGGCACAAGCATTCTCCACTGCAACCACTGAACATCCAAGGTATGGACATTGAGGCTGTGGACAGCTACAGGTACCTTGGTGTTCATCTGAACAATAGACTGGACTGGACTCATAACTCAGACGCCCTCTACAGGAAAGGGCAGAGCAGGCTGTACCTGCTGCGGAGACTCAGGTCGTTTGGAGTGGAGGGCCCACTCCTGAAGACCTTCTATGACTC